TTTTTTTTATAAGCTGAGGTAAAACCAGGTCATCACCGAGGTCTGAAGTTTGGGAGTTTTGAAATCTGAAGTTTGAAATCACTTCAGTCTTGTCTCTTAATCAGACTTCAGTATGAAGCTGTGCTATGAACCGTGATTTGGCCGAGCTTTAAAGACAGGCGTCCTTCATCAACCTGGGATTTATGGACCAGGTGGTACGGAACCCAAAAAAGTTAAACAGAAGAAGGGGGCAGTAGAGGGCAAGTAGAGGACAACTAATATATATTTATCTCAGTGATGAAGGGAAAAGACAAGAGGACGTAGAACAACAACCTAAACTAAACTAAAATAGCCTCGCTGTCTTAAATTGGTGCCGGCACTCAGACGTACAATCTGATGTGACATTTCTGGACCATTTCCATTTATATATATATTCACCATCAGTGACGACTGTGTGAGAGGGAGAAAAGCAGCCGCCGTTTGACTGGTGTCATTTCACGTTGACAGCGAAAGAAAAACGAGCAATTTCTCCTCCAGAGCCCAGATTAAATGTTCCATCATGCCACGATGACGTCATGGGCAGAAGAGCGGCTCTGTTTCCAGAGTTGTTTTTTTTTTTTTTATGAGAACAATGACGATCTGTAGAGTTAAAGAAGCCTGAGGTTAAAGATGATTAAAATGTCTTAATATCTGGTATTATCTTTTTACTAAAATAAAAATAAAAACTCCAAAAAATTTTCATATTTTTTAAAAGTCTCATAAACATCGACTAACATGTCAACATGCCAAAAAAAGTTTACAATGATGGTCCAGGACTTCCCATAGTGCTTTGTGGTTTGTTGCAAATGTACTGAGTTAGGGAGTGTGGCACAGTTCCTTTCCTGAAAAAAGGGGGCGTACAGTGTGTTTTTCACATTGACTTCCTGTGTTGTTAACTTTTACAGAGACCCACTGTTCATTTGATTGTTTGTTTTGGCCTTCAGTGTGTCCCTGCTGCATCCCATAATAACAGATTCACCCATTTATGTGTGCTCTAAAAAAAAAAAACGGACGGACGGACGATAAAAGCGATGGGCATAATCACAGGGTCAGGAAGGACGAGGAGACGCTGCATTTAATGGCTGTCAGCCAAACGTAGCTGCGTTTCAAAACTGAAAATTTGTTGATACCAAATGTGAAGAATAGTTGGACGGCGTGATGCTGTCGGAGGCTAACGATGTCTCAGGACGGTGTCCTCATTACTGGACACACCACCAAACATCTGCGCTCTGTGACGGCGTCCAGGAGAGCCCTGGGTCAGGACAGGAAGTGAGGTTTAGTCAAGACTGTAGATGGTTTACAGGTCAGGTCAGATTTACAGTGTGTGTAAAGGTTTATTTTATGAACTGGTTCAAATTAACGAGGCCGTTCACACTTCCTGTAACGCCGGGGATTCAAACCTCAAATTACCGGGCGAGCGAGGGTTGAAGTACCGGTACTTGAAAGACACGTCTCAAACACGTCCTGTCTGGTCACGTGACCAGACTGGTGATTAAAGGAACGACGGAGACCACCGCTCCTGAAATCCCATCTACACCGACAGATTCACAGCCACTGGTTCAACAAAGATTTTGTTCACGATGAATGAAAGAAAATAGAATGACAGTGGAAAATACAAGGAAATACAGTCAGTGGCCACCAGGAGGTCCCGTCCCCTTAGTTTGGGAAACACTGGTGTAAATGTTAAACACACATTATTATAATGTCGTTCTCTGTTTGTGCTACATGAAAAGAAAAGAAAAAAAAAAGAAGAAAAAAAAGAAGCCTTTTTTTTCTGCTGTTAATGTGAAACAAACTGTTTCCTGATGCAACCACTGAGTCACTGCTGACTGGTCCAGGGACTGAGCTGCACAGTGTTGAAAAGCTCATCCATTATTGATACTGTGAGCTGCAGCATTACATTCCTCATCCGTACTTTTATAAGCCTGCCAATGTTTTCTTTTTTTTTTCCTAGGCTGTTTATTAATCATCTCTCTTTTTTCTTTAAATATAAATATATATAAATCAACTAAAGAAACCACATTGACTTGTTTTTCTTTCTGGTTCTGGTTCCCTCTCCAACGTCAGTCAGGATCACCAGGGTGCTGCAGATCTACGAGGCTGAGATCTGAACAACTCCGGGCAACAACAACCCCGGCGTTTTCATTTTTATTGTGTTTCAGTCTCTGGACTAATAAACAGCAGCAGAAGAAGAAGAAAACCAACGACTCTTTTCATTAAATGAACAAACACAGTGTGTGTGTGTGTGTGTGTGTGTCGTCTTACCCGTGATTGGTGCCTGGCTCGGTGACGTTCTGCCTCTGACTGTGCAGCAGCAGGGAGCAGATGTTGTATTGGCTCTCCAGCAGCAGGAAGGAGTCCAGATTACAGCAGAGCACGCTGAGCAGTCTGCAGAAACACAGTCAAACAAGACGGAGGAGAGGTTAGAGTCCGGTGGAGCGGTGGAGCAGTGGAGCAGAGAGACAGAGTTACACTGAAGCACAGGGATGACACCACCATGACCGGAGAGGTCATCCAAACGTCAGGTCACACCTGCACTTCTACACTACAGCACTGTTTCCCAAAGACTGGGTCACGACCCTCAGGTGGGTCGTCTAGTATCATCGTTTTACAGGAGTTCATAATGAACAATGTCTTTTGACTTCGGTCGCTAAGGTTTGTGACTTTTAAAATATTGATCATCGCCAGAAAAAAAAGTTTGGCAAACATTGCTCTACACTCATTTATATTCACTCCCTCTTTGTCACCTCACTGTTTATAGTTTCAC